AACATCAAGCAGATCATGGATGTTTTCATTGTAGATTTCACAAAAGGAGACCCACACAGAGAATTTAACATAAGAGGTCTCATCCAAACAGACACTGTTCCCATTCGTGTCACTAGAGGTGGAGCCTGGGGGGTGGGGGATCAATGTAAAGTGTTTATGCTCATATTCACTGACAGAATGCTCAAAAACTATTTCAAACGCAGAGTAAAAGACATAAAACATTCAATAATACTTACTTTCAAATGATGAACAGCTGGAGCTGGACATGCTAGAGAGGGTTTTCTGGTCAATCTGATAAACACAGAAACAGTCAATGTGTGAGTATTAGTAATTTACTTTTCTGTGCTAAAAAACAATATACAATTTAAAAAAAGAGGAAATATATATAAAAATAATTTACATCTTTAAATCGGCGAAGAAGGTTTCTCTTATTTGTAGCTTCCTCATCCTGCTGCTCTTTGGTGAGTCTTATAAAGTCGACACATCTGTGAGGCTTGATGTTATTTTGAGAATAATTTCTGCCTTCTATGCTGTTAAAGATCACATTTAATGACCTGGGCAGAACTCCACCATCTGAATCAGGGCCTACAACATAAAACAGACTTAAATCTATGTATGTATAGACAGCTATACATACATACATACATACATACAGTGCAATATATAATTAAGTGAAAGTGAAGTGACATGTGGCCAAGTCATTTTTGCTGCGGTGCCCGGGGAGCAGATGGGGGTTCGGTGCCTTGCTCAAGGGTCTCACCTCAGTCGTGGTATTGAAGGTGGAGGAGAGCGCTGGTTATTCACTCCCCCCACCTACAATCCCTGCCAGACCTGTGACTCGAACCCGCAACCGTTGGGTTACAAGTCTGACTCTCTAATCATTAGGCCACGACACATCTCATACAAAATTCTTACCAAAAAAAGTAAACGTCTTCCCAGCATTAGTAACTCCATACGTAAAGATCAAGGAATTCCCTCCATCCAAGACTTCTTTCACAAGGCTTTTGGTTGTTCCATCAAATATATCTCTTTGTGTCGTTTCTGGACCGTACACCTAAAACATGAATTCAGCAATCATATTACAGCAGAAGCACACTTGATAACATCACTGAAGCCTGTTTGCAATAAATGACAACGCCAGTGGTGACTGTGGCTGTCCTCATACCTGTGAGAACTGAAATCGTTGTGCCAGCTGTGACCCAAATCTCTCACTGTGTCTGGCTGTCAGAGATGCTCTAGGTGCCTTCAGAATCACGGTATCTGGAGTCTCAATTGAGATGCACTCCTGTTTGTAGAGATTACAGTCATAACATATTTCATTAAGCATAGTAAAAGTATAGTTCACCCCAAAATGAAAATTCATCATTCACTTTTCATCCTCATGTTGTTTCAAACCCATATCCACACAATAAAAGTGAACACATATGTGTTATGACAGAATTTCTCAAAAATTGTATAAAATATGTCAGAATTTTGCTGGCACCTGTGATTCTCCTTCTGTTCTCTCTGCAGTAGTGAATGGGCGGACACGGAGATAGACCTGTAGATGCTCTTTTTCCAGCAATACCGAGTCCTGTTGAAAACAGAAATATGAAACATGAAATACTACTTTACAGCCTAAATTCGAGGGCTTTAAAACATGAAATATGTTTGATAATAATAAATACCCTTGATAATTTGGAAAACTCGACGAAAAGATCTTTCCTGAGGTCCTCAGCCGTTACAGAGCCAACTCTCCCAGGCTTATTATGATTTAAACACGATTCCATCATCTTGACGAAGCCTATCAATACGTTTAGCTAAAAATGTTATCATATGATAACAAAATTTAAGTGGCTACAAACAAAAGTGAAACAACAATAACGCATCGACTATTGAACGAGCTATTGCCTGAGATTTTTTCCAATTCAATTAAGCAACAATTTTGGACAAGATGTAAAAGTATCAACTGTGTGTTTTCATTCTCGCCAATTTCACTTACTTTTCGCTTTATTGTTATATATATATATATATATATAAAATAAGTTAATTAATGACTAAATCAATGATTCCATGTTAAAGCATGTTAGTATTGAGGTCACCTACTCGCTAATTGTCTGAACCCGAGGAACACCCACATCTTCAATATGCAAGATCCGAATGGAAAATATACTGTGGCTATGGAGAAAATGTATATGTTATATCATTTCAAAACATAATAAAATTATCAAGTTAAATATTAACACTACAGTGATTTAAAATGAAGCACCTTCTGCTAGAGACATTGTTGAGCTTGGTGGATGAAAAGCTTTGATTTTTCCTTCCGATTTTCACAACTTTTAATGCTTCCTCTGCACTGTTAACTTGAACCCATTTTAGATCTGGATGGAAAAAAATACTCAGACAAAATGTATAAATAATCAAAGCTGTATTTATTATAAAAAAGTATATGCTGATAATTCATAAAATATTTTTTTATAAAATACTTAAATGTAAACATTTATTCAATTATTATTATTTTCAAGCCAGAAAACAGTTGGTTACCTTTGACAAAAGCATTGCCTTTAACATCTTGGGCTAGCCGCAAAACATTCCTTCTGTGAGAGCCATTTGGAACAACATCAAGCAGATCATGGATGTTTTCATTGTAGATTTCACAAAAGGAGACCCACACAGAGAATTTAACATAAGAGGTCTCATCCAAACAGACACTGTTCCCATTCGTGTCACTAGAGGTGGAGCCTGGGGGGTGGGGGATCAATGTAAAGTGTTTATGCTCATATTCACTGACAGAATGCTCAAAAACTATTTCAAACGCAGAGTAAAAGACATAAAACATTCAATAATACTTACTTTCAAATGATGAACAGCTGGAGCTGGACATGCTAGAGAGGGTTTTCTGGTCAATCTGATAAACACAGAAACAGTCAATGTGTGAGTATTAGTAATTTACTTTTCTGTGCTAAAAAACAATATACAATTTAAAAAAAGAGGAAATATATATAAAAATAATTTACATCTTTAAATCGGCGAAGAAGGTTTCTCTTATTTGTAGCTTCCTCATCCTGCTGCTCTTTGGTGAGTCTTATAAAGTCGACACATCTGTGAGGCTTGATGTTATTTTGAGAATAATTTCTGCCTTCTATGCTGTTAAAGATCACATTTAATGACCTGGGCAGAACTCCACCATCTGAATCAGGGCCTACAACATAAAACAGACTTAAATCTATGTATGTATAGACAGCTATACATACATACATACATACATACAGTGCAATATATAATTAAGTGAAAGTGAAGTGACATGTGGCCAAGTCATTTTTGCTGCGGTGCCCGGGGAGCAGATGGGGGTTCGGTGCCTTGCTCAAGGGTCTCACCTCAGTCGTGGTATTGAAGGTGGAGGAGAGCGCTGGTTATTCACTCCCCCCACCTACAATCCCTGCCAGACCTGTGACTCGAACCCGCAACCGTTGGGTTACAAGTCTGACTCTCTAATCATTAGGCCACGACACATCTCATACAAAATTCTTACCAAAAAAAGTAAACGTCTTCCCAGCATTAGTAACTCCATACGTAAAGATCAAGGAATTCCCTCCATCCAAGACTTCTTTCACAAGGCTTTTGGTTGTTCCATCAAATATATCTCTTTGTGTCGTTTCTGGACCGTACACCTAAAACATGAATTCAGCAATCATATTACAGCAGAAGCACACTTGATAACATCACTGAAGCCTGTTTGCAATAAATGACAACGCCAGTGGTGACTGTGGCTGTCCTCATACCTGTGAGAACTGAAATCGTTGTGCCAGCTGTGACCCAAATCTCTCACTGTGTCTGGCTGTCAGAGATGCTCTAGGTGCCTTCAGAATCACGGTATCTGGAGTCTCAATTGAGATGCACTCCTGTTTGTAGAGATTACAGTCATAACATATTTCATTAAGCATAGTAAAAGTATAGTTCACCCCAAAATGAAAATTCATCATTCACTTTTCATCCTCATGTTGTTTCAAACCCATATCCACACAATAAAAGTGGTGTTATGACTGTTATGACAGAATTTCTCAAAAATTGTATAAAATATGTCAGAATTTTGCTGGCACCTGTTCTGTTCTCTCTGTTCTCTCTGCAGTAGTGAATGGGCGGACACGGAGATAGACCTGTAGATGCTCTTTTTCCAGCAATACCGAGTCCTGTTGAAAACAGAAATATGAAACATGAAATACTACTTTACAGCCTAAATTCGAGGGCTTTAAAACATGAAATATGTTTGATAATAATAAATACCCTTGATAATTTGGAAAACTCGACGAAAAGATCTTTCCTGAGGTTTTTTCCAGCAATGCCGAGTCCTGTTGAAAACAGAAATATGAAACATGAAATACTACTTTACAGCCTAAATTCGAGGGACATGAAACATGAAATATGTTTGATAATAATAAATACCCTTGATAATTTGGAAAACTCGACGAAAAGATGAGGTCCTCGGTCCTCAGCCGTTACAGAGCCAACTCTCCCAGGCTTATTATGATTTAAACACGATTCCATCATCTTGACGAAGCCTATCAATACGTTTAGCTAAAAATGTTATCATATGATAACAAAATTTAAGTGGCTACAAACAAAAGTGAAACAACAATAACGCATCGACTATTGAACGAGCTATTGCCTGAGATTTTTTCCAATTCAATTAAGCAACAATTTTGGACAAGATGTAAAAGTATCAACTGTGTGTTTTCATTCTCGCCAATTTCACTTACTTTTCGCTTTATTGTTATATATATATATATATATATATATATATAGATATATAGATAACTGTATCCCGTTTACGTCGATAACATGCTTCTTTCCTGCCGTGATCGTAGCGGTTTCTCTCTGTTCAAATCGAACCAATCGGAGAGTTCGCTACGACGTAGCTTCGCCCCCAAAGCGGAAGTAAATTGTATTGTAGTTCTAGTTGACTGACACGATAAGAGAAACCAACGCAAAAATGGCATATGCGAACTACATTACCCATAAAACACAATTAACTTCTGGTTCACGCTTTAACGTGGAATGTGTTTGTGCATGTGGGTCTCACTACATTCGTTGAAATGGTTTAGATTTATGTGATAAGAAGTAAACTCTATATAGATTTGCGTTTGTAAAAACAGTGGAAAAAATGTCTGTGTTCATGGATCTAAACATCATCAGCAGTAATGATAAAAACAGACTCAAAAGCATCATAGAGACAGCAGCTCACCGTAAGTAGCAGTAATATTAGTTATGTTTCCTGAAATTATGGTTAACACCAGTAGGTTAACTATCTACTTTAGTAATTATTAATAAGATGTTCTTTAATAATGAATTTTGTGTGTGAAGGCTTAACCCATACCTTGCCAAACACATTTTTGGAAATCCAGTAGTTCTGTTTTGGCTGGGGTCTTCTAACTGATCTAAGATGGTAATTAGCTGGTTGTTAGTTTGTGTGAGCTGGGAAACTATCTTGCACTAGCAACAAAACAACGACCAGTCCAGTTGGTCATACCAGGTCTGCTAGCTCATGACCAGCTTGGCCCAACTTTGATCAACTAGAAGCAGGGTAAACAAATAGATCTCATGTACTATTGACGAACAATTAATTCAGTTATTAACTTTCACTCTTTATATTGTAGTTGGCTACTCAACGGTCGCAATAAACTATGTGGTTGAACCACAACAGAAGAAACAGGTATAATATAAAGTAGTTAGACTAACCTGTACACTTTAAGAGTTCATTTGAGGATGCTCTTCTTTTCTTGTATTACAGGAAATTCCTAAGCCACAGAGTGTGTCAGACATATTTGATAAATTCCCAATAGTACAGGTAAATTACTTTAGCATGTTTCTAGATCATACTTACCCATGATGATACTGTTGATGAATATTGTGTGCTTTTTTTCATAGGGCAAATCTTCTCCCATCAAAGTACTGAATCGATTGACCATCATAGCCTCTGATGCATCTCATTTTGTAAGTTGCAAGTTTATAATGAAGAAGCTCTAAGAAATTTGCTAACATTTTATTTATATTGTGAAATTAGTATGTTATTTTCTTTCTAGAGACCAACCAATGAATACAAAAGCTTCGACCTTGTGGCGGTGTACCCCAAGACCGAAAAACTCTTTCATGTAAGGGAAATAGCAATTCTGAATTAGCTTAATTTATTCCATTTAGTATTATTTATTTTTTTTATATTTCTGATGAAAACCAACAGTTGTGATATTAAAGTTTCTGTATATTTTCCTTTGTCTGTGTCAGGCAGCCTGCATGACTTTTGATGTGGACATTATCTGCATTGCAGTGGCTGAAAAACAGCCCTTCCATTTTAAAAGGGCTCCAGTTAATGGGGTGAGTTATAGTATTTTATATCCATACCTAACAGCATACAAGGTGATTTTAAGCGGCACTGCGGCATTTATAGAACTTGGTAATAAAATAAGTAAAATTACAAAGTTGTGAATATGAGTTCCTAAAGGAATATTCCACATCAAAATTAAAATTAATGTCCTTGCAAAATGTTGAGTTGCATGGACCACTTTAATGATACTATCGTGGTGTTTTGCATTCTTTCCAAAACTTGACAGCACAAGTCTTTCACTTTTTTATTATATGTTAAAAATGTCACCTTTTAATACAGGTTTGAAACAACATGATGGTTAATAAATAATGGTAATTTAGTGGTGAATTATCCCTTTAAATGATGTATCATCACTGTTATATTGTTGGTCTCTTCAGGCTATTGACAGGGGGGTTTTCTTTGAGACCTGTTATGCGGCAGCCATCAGAGACACCACTATGAGGAGATACTCCATTGCCAATGCCATCAGCCTCATGGAAGTCTGTAAAGGAAAAGTATGTTTCCCTTTTTACACATAAACACCTTTAAAATGTGTTAAGCTAGTTCTGAAATTACATTTTTTTCCCTCACAGAATATCATAGTGTCCAGTGGAGCAGAAAGGGTAAAAAGTCTTTTGTAAATTGATATATCATTTCAGTGTTACTGTATTGTATAGTCAGTATGACATTGTTGTCCTTTGTTTTTTTCCTTAGCCACTTGAGTTGAGGGGTCCGTATGACATTGCCAATTTGTATCCTTTGTATTTGTGTATGAATAAATCGTATGAAAATGTCATGGTACTTCTAAAAGGCACTGTATCTATGTTGATATGTTCCTTCATTGAGATTTCAGAGGGCTTGTGTTCAGCCTGTCTGAGGGAGATGCCAAAGCTGCTGTTTCTACTAACTGTCGATCTGTCTTGCTTCATGGAGGTAAATGACTGGAAAGAGCTCAACTATTTCCCATTTCTCCAGTACAGGCTTAATTCTATGCCACGTGGTCTTTTTTGTTGTTAGATTGCTAGTTGACTTGCTGAGTATGCATTTATACCGATGGGCATTTCAATCTGTTTTTTTTTTTTATATTAGTTGTAAAGTGTTATGTGAATGTTCATTGGTGATTTTCATAATTCTTTATAACAGAGACGAGAGCCACTGCATCTGGTGTTGTTTACACCATGAAGAAACCAAAAACTCCCCAGAAGCAAGAAGAATCTCCAGTATCTAAAAAGGCCAAAACTGAATTAGCATAGCCAGTATTTCAGAATTCGTGTATTATTTTTATTTTTACATTGAAGATTAGTATTCCCTGAATCCTTTTCTCAACATCTTGCAATCCACTTTAAATTGAAAGATGATACAGATATTTTAAAAATGATATTTATTTAGTTGAGCTTTAAAAGAATTGCAAACAAAATTTACAGATAAATTGAACTAGTACAAAATTGCTCATTTCACATTGAGTGCATTCTGTCATAAAATATGATTTAGAATATCAAAAATGTCCATCAATCATGCTCAGATTGAATCTAATCTTAGCAGTAGAGCTATTTCAGGCAATGCATTTCCATGTGAAGATGAAGCTCTATGTTCCATTAAGTTTCTCATTCCTTTCTGCCTTATCTGTGGTTTAATAAAAAGTGAAAGTACTGTGCTTCAATTTCCAAAACTCTAGTAAAACTTTCACATAAGTTTTCCATTTGAAAAAGGCATAATGTCATGCAGGGCTCAATAATATACCTTCCTTAGATAACAGATTCTAATATGCAGGCAATCTAAAAATGCAGGTTTTTGAGTGTATTATGCCCAAAGCGCACCTATGGTGGTCAAGTATTGCATCTACTTTTTTCCATCCTTAAAGTTGTCAAAGATGGTTTTAGCTTCATTCTGCCACTCGCAAACACTGTCCATTGGTGACTTTCCCTCCTGGAGAAGACAAAGCAACAGTAACCAAGCAATATTGATCCTAAGCCTTTACAAAACGTCTTGGCTACTAAAAATAATTTTAGAGGGCTGTTTCCACACTAGCAAAACTAATAAGCTTACATAAGTACCAGAAGATGGTACTGTGCACAGCTTAAATAAGCATCCTAGTGAAATTTAGTGAGAATTGATTTCCTACATATAATTTACCATTTATTAGTATCTGATAGCATCCTAATACATGAGCAACAAGATAAAAGTATATAGGCTATGCATTACATTTAAGAATACTTACACAATTCTTGAGTTTTAAGTCACCTCCGTGCAACAGAAGAAGTTGGATGAGCTTGAAGCGATTCAGTCTGACTGCATCATGTAGTGGCGTGTCACCCTCCTGATGCAGAATGACATTTAAAGTTACCATTAACGTGTTAATTAACTTTATTTAATGACTGTGTTGCCAAATTTCTTACTATGTCTTTTGCACTGATGTCTGCGCCACAGTGTATGAGATGTTCAGCACATTCATGGTGTCCTGTCCTGACCGCTACATGAAGGGGAGTGCTGCGAAGCTGAGGACGTCAAGTGTAACCGATAGAGACAGTATGTCAGACCACACCAGCTATATTATTAAAACGGATTTGCTGTCAAATAACTGCTTTTACCTTGTCTCTGGAATCCAGTTTTGCCCCATGATTAAGTAGTGCTTCCAGCACAGGCAAACTGCCACCACGACAAGCCCAGTGAACTTCAGTTGCTTGAAGCTAATTAAACACATCCAAAAGAATAAGATGATCCATTCATATTATGCAAATTAGAAGAATAGAATAGATGTATTGCAGAGAAATGCATGCTGCTCATTTTTTTTAATTATTTATTTAAAAATACATTAAAAGTAAAACTAACACATACAATATCACCTCTTCCATAAGTTTAGTGTAATCTTTTTTTATAATCCATTTTGTTAAAATATAAAAAACACAACAAAATCGTGGTGCAACCAACATGTGATACTTCCATGAAATGTCAAGATCAATAAGGGTCAAAAATTATATTTATGAATTAATTCATAATATTTGTTGAAATACTTTTAAATGTATTTTTAAACTTTATGAAAAATAATAATGTGAATTAAAGAATTAAGGAAAATGTTACTACTTTTTGCTTGGTTACACCAGTTGCATTTTTAGTCATTGAAACTTTTCTTGAAAATGGTATAAAAGAGTATATTTCTGTATTCGAAATTGTCACATGAATTTGAAGCTTAGGTTTAAAATATTTTCTTTGTCTTGATCTTGTACACTCTTTCTCAAGTGTTAATGTGTGTTTGTATTCATAGTAAATATCAATGCACAAATATACTTAAGTATTATGTAAACATTATTCAATACCTTGTCCTTATTTTCAATTGAAGCACCGGCCTCCAGCAGCGTTTGCACAATCTCCACGTTTGCTTGTGAGCAAGCTCTGTGCAAAGCTGTTCGGTTGAACTAGTAAAACAAAAAAAAGTATATATATATATATATATATATTGTAGCTATAACAAAAAAACTACAAAAAATTATAACAAAAACTTTAAAAATTAAAATACAAAAGAATATAAAAATAAAAACTGATTAAAAATATTAATACAAATTACAACTTAAATCTCAATGACACTAAAATAACACTGGTAGTCATCACAACATAACGTACAATATGAAAGATGGTTATTCATTCAGACTCAATTTGTGTCTTAGCATGCACAATTAAATATCTAGTATCTGCCAGAAATGAAAAAATTTACAAGTTGTCTGATAGCTGATATGGTACTGATATGTTGTGCATCTCAACAATAAAGACGGCTATTTGCATAAAAAGCATCAATACATCAGCCCACACATTCCATACATCCCTCTATATCTTGGTAACACATTGAGATACAGCTAATGTATTTACAGCAGAGCAGATGTATTGCTTCCTGCACCGCATGGTGACCGGCATTAGGTTTTACTGTGCGCAGCATGGTTTTGGTTTTATGTTGGAAGATGAAGTGCTTGTTTGGTTTTTATTTCAGACAAGATAAGTCGGTGTGGTCCATCTTTGCTGGAGGTTGGACTCCAAGTATGTTTGGTCCCTACAGTGTATATATATATATATATATATATATATATATATATATATATATCCTTTAGATTTAAGTGCTGTCAGCATGCCTTTTATTCAATATGTTGGGTAAACACTCACATTATCACAGGCATTTGGGTCTGCACCTCTGGCAAGGTAACTTTTTATCATTGGCAATTTGTTATCCAGCGCTGCCTTCAGAAAGTCATCCTCGTCAACAAAATCATTCTGTGAGACAATGAGATGATTACTTGAGGGGTTGAAATCTCATTAATAATGATTGCTTTGAAGTATGCTTACCACTATCTCTTGTTTAGGCCGTGTTTTGTAGACTGGTGTACTTGTTTTTATCTTCTGACGTTCTATAATCTCTTGGAGGTCATTGGTACTGTTGTCAGTCTGCAAAATCATTCAAATATGATAAAGAAAATGCACTTCTAATAACATATGCTTCATGAGGTATACAAATGAATGCTTAAGAAACCTATATCTTACATTAAAACCATTTAAAATGACTACACTGTCACACTGGAGGTTATAGGCTTTCAGATGATGTTCAACAGAGCTTTTGCATTCTTCAGAAGGATGCTGTGCTACATTGTCATCCTGCTCTTTGTTTCCACTTGTGATGTCTGTAACCTAAAATAACAAAATTAGAACACATATTTTGTAGACCAAAGAAATAACCACTCAAAGGGATAGTTCACCTAAAATCATATTCATCTTCATGTCATTCCAAACCTGTATGACTGACTTTCTTTGGTGGTACACAAAAGAAAAAATTAATTGAATGATCATCGAAAAAAGTAGATATTTCCCAAAATATTTTTGTGTTCCACCGTAGAAAGGCCTATGCAGGTTTGGAATGGCATGAGATTTTTGGGCGAATGCTCTCTTTTAAAACACTAGTGGCCATTTTAAAACCGCAAAAGTTTTGTATAAATAGTCAAAAGAGGTTTTATATGTATATACAGTCTATCTCTATTCACATTTATTTAGCAATTGAAGTAGTTTGAAGAGGATCTCGTTTTTAAATATTTCAAATAATATAATAAGTAGGCCTGCTATTATCTGTTTTTAAAGGTAACAGGAGCCCAGGACCTAAAAATCCAAGATGCACAAAATAAACTGAAATCTTGAGACAAAAGCATCAAATTAAACTATTTAAAATGTATAATGGAAATCCCTAAAAACTTACTGCTTTTTAAATAGACATTTAGAAATAGACATATAAGCCCTTACCAGCTCATCGTCCTGTAGGATTCCCATGACTTTCCTCGAAAATTCCTTGTGCCAAAATTAAAGCATCCAAGCCAAGCATCACTTATATATGTGGTGGAGATCATGCTCCTGTTGTTCAACTGACTCCTCCCACCTCTGAGGTTTCCATGTCACTGTGATGTCAGATGCATTTCAAAGGGGGCTGAGGGTGAAAAAAACATTTTCAGAAGTCAGATGCCTTTGGGAACATTTGAAGGAATGGAAATTAAACCTGGGGGAACTTGATGTGCTGCCATAGAGCCCCCTGTCTATCCAAGGATGATTTACAGCTGACCATGAAGCCCAAGACACAGAACACCACTCCACATCACACACAAAGATGACAGGACTTGTTTATGAAGTGATATGGAGACTTATAACATCATAATCAGCTTTGACTGTCTCATATATTAAGGGAGTTGTCTTCATTTATAAGACTATTTTCTTCTTAGGTTTCATCACTTGCATTACTTCTGTTATGAGAGCAGGTAAAATTGTCGCACCCTGTGACTATTTTTAATTGAGCTGCCCATGAATCACTTACAGTAATGAGTAACATGGGTGGTTGTCTTGCATGGCAGCTGCTATTTTACTAGGTTTCCACGTGTCCAGGGCCTATAAAACTATGAAATGATGCAGTAAAGATGTGAAGAATATATCTATTAAAATTAATATTTTTCAAGGCTTTCTTAAGCGCTGTGGGAGGCTACATACAGCATCTTTTAACAAGCAGAATGTTACACTGGTGTTAGACGGAGAGATATTTCCCTCCATAAAATCTAATATTTGTTTGCAGCATTAGCACCAAAAATGAACAAATATTGCCTGTGTGTCTAACATGCAACATAAGAGTGTTTTTGTTCATTTATTAATTGAAACCTCAGAATGCACTATAGTATCAAGAAGTCAAGACACTGCAAGAAGTTAGCAGTGTTGCATATAGTGGCTTAAAAAAATAGAAGTTAAAGAACATTTTCTCATTAACATGTTTCTAATTAAATAACTATCAAGAAAACAACTGGATGGATATATAAAATTATAATGTTTGTGAGACGGCTTTCAATCTAGGGGCATCAGTAGGTTTCTACAGAAAATTTGAGAAAAAAAAATTATAATGAACATTTTAGGGCTGCCAAAGGCTTTAAAACTTCTGGAATTTTGGATTTTGCAATCAATATAAAATGTAACATGATGTTTTGTCAAAAAAGAGGGTTGATAATTTAGTAATCCTGTAAACACATTTATAAAAATACATAATGGAGACATTAATCAACATCATTTCATTAATGAATCAAATAGAAGTTTTTTAAGCAAATGTTGATGAATTGTGAACATCCTGCATCATTAGCAGGGTCTGGGATCCAA